TGTTGTACAGAATCCAAATAATGTCTTATCTGTTTGGCTGTACAACACCGTACCAAACAGATAAGACATTATTTGGATTCTGTACAACACCGTAGGATTCTGTACAACACCGTACCAAACAGATAAGACATTATTTGGATTCTGTACAACACCGTACCAAACAGATAAGACATTATTTGGATTAAATAATGTCTTATCTGTTTGGTACGGTGTTGTACAGAATCCAAATTGTGTCTTATCTGTTTGGTACGGTGTTGTACAGAATCCAAATTGTGTCTTATCTGTTTGGTACGGTGTTGTACAGAATCCAAATTGTGTCTTATCTGTTTGGTATGGTGTTGTACAAATTGTGACTTCTCAATCAAGCTAAACCATAATTCTGTGTTGTTTCTAAGTGTATATAACGATTGTCAGTATAATTAACTTTGATTTTGTGTGTACAGGGTCAGAAATAATCATGGAAAACGTGTGAATAAAATATGTATGAAATACAAATACTATGGAATTGCTTCCTCTCTATTATATGAAAACAAAGGGCATTTGAGTGCAGTCATGTAGTGATAGCTTACACTATGACTAGTGGTCATACTGCTTATATCCATGGTAATATGAAAACAGAAAAGGTCAAACAGCAACCAAACAACTTGGCTGTATTGAGGGGAGTATTGTAGAAAGGTATTTCATAATCGTACTTTGTTAGTCATGGAACAATAAAAAATTAATTATACTGCTCTGTTTAAAGCTAATACAAAATACTAAAGCATTGTACAAGTTAAATAATGGCTGGAGACGGCTTGAATGGGTAATGAAGAAAAACTTTAATATAAGTTTAACATAACAGCAAATGTACAATGTTTCGACAAGGTTTTGTCATCATCAGGTACAAGTAATTTACACTGACACGGATATATATACACAGTATTGAACAAAGAAGTCACATGACCGGAACTGTTGTGAAACTTAGAAGAGGTATCTAGGCACCCCGGGGTGTTGGTTTAGAGTAGGGTTGTTTTGTTCAATTCCCAACATAAATGAACGAAAAATCAAGGAATCCATCTTATTATTGTTTAAAATGACTGTTTTTAATAGATATACTATGGTTTTTTGAGTTGCAACGTTGAAAAACATGAGATGGTTTTTTTATTGTGTTCTGTCAATCTGGTTTCCAAAATTTCCATTACTGTGTGTAAGTAACAAGTAGCATTTAGATAGTCCAAAATTTCAAAATATTTATCAAAATTACTTTTCTCGATACACATAAAAAAAAATTGCTGATTGATAGACAGTTAAGGTTTATCTCAAGCTTCACCTTGTTTAATCCAAATGAATTATTGTGTGTTTTTTAGAAATCCAGTTTGACTGAACAACAAGAAGAGTGTGTTGAGAAAGAACCACTGGAAGATGTCAAACCATCTATTGATAGGGCTAAAGCCACACTAACATTTAGTCAGGTATAATGATGACTTTACTAATGAATGTAGTCATGGTTAAACTTTCTCTTTGTGCTCCACTAATAGTTACTAAATTGCTGACACTTTCCACACTATTTTACTTCAAAATCTCCAAATTTAGATCTATTTAACCAAGCTGATTAGATACATTTTGTTTATAAATGCCTATTTAGGCCTATTTACAGTCAGTTTGTGCATGTTCATCCCTTGTATAGTTCAGTGACTGGTATGGTAGTAGATTTGGTTAATTCAGTTCCATGCTGTATGTAAATAGAATGACTGGTATAGTAGGACAATTTGTCACTGTGTGTTCATGCTGTATGTAAATACAATGACTGGTATAGTAGGACAATTTGTCACTGTGTGTTCATGCTGTATGTAAATACAATGACTGGTATAGTAGGACAGTTTGTCACTGTGTGTTCATGCTGTATGTAAATACAATGACTGGTATAGTAGGACAGTTTGTCACTGTGTGTTCATGCTGTATGTAAATACAATGACGGGTATAGTAGG